TAAGGGGAAGAGGGGGAAAAACAGCAGTGAAGTTGGGAGCTAAGTCTGACCACATTCAATAGACTCCTATGTGGAGACCTGGTTGGCCAGCAGTATGGCAAGACCCAGAGACTTCTGGGCCCAGAGACAGTGAGTGACATGGCCACAGAGGACTAGAGCGGAGAGCGAAGCGTCCAGCTGATATGAAGTGAGGGATGATGCACAAGGACACCCATACTTGCAGAAGTACCCACTTGACCTTGCTTCAATGGCTGAATGATCAGAACTGGACTAGAAGAAAAAAGAAGAGGAAAATTAATAGTAACCCACTACAATTTGATGATCTTTACCTATACTTATGGATGTAGTAGATCAAAAGAGGGAACAAATCTTTACAGTGAGGATCACTCCCATTCCCTTGGTACACAGGGTTGACAGGGTTGGGCAACTTAGACATTGGCTACCCAAAATGGGGGCACTACAAAGGCAAGAAGTGACTGTTTTACAAGCTTTCATGAGGGAGCCTAGTTCCATATGGGCAGGGGAAGGTAGAACCTCCACTTAATGATTTCCAACCTATTGGGATTGGACTAATGAAAGGAGATGGGGATATGACTCTTGTGGTACAATAGTGAATAGTTGTTATCAAGACTGACTGTGAGGGTCAGAAATGTAACAAAAGGAGAGGAGTGATTGAATTTGCAGTCCAGAAGTGGAGGTCCCTGGGACCATCAAGTCAGAAGAGCGGAGTGCAGGACGCTACCCAGAGAAGCAGTGAAGCCAGAAATGGAGGCAGGAGACGATGACATGGACAGATAGAGTGGCTGGGGACACTGGACTCGGGGAGGGAGAGGGCCTGTGTGCTGAAGGCCGAGGGGCAGGCTTGTGGGGTGTACCCTTTGGTTGTTTGATGATTCACGGAGGGGATTGTAATCATTGCAATGAAACAAAATACAATAGCATGAATGTAAAATTGAAGTTCTCCCATGCAAACCCACATAATTCACAATAAAAACTAAAAAAGAGAGAAAGATTTCCATTTAGCAAGCACTTATATAAGGACTAGAAATAAGGTACTCATGCTTGATAATTCTGTTTTTCCTTCATACTTTGTATACTTTACACATGTGTATGAAAAATAAGTATAAAATTAATGCTACAGAAAATATTAAATATGTAATAGGTGATAATGACATCAAAATGGGGAGAGAGGAGTTATATAGATAAAAAATTTCTTATATGGTAGTGAAATTAAGTTGGCAACAGCTTACCCTAAAATGTCACAAATGCAAGATGTCAAATGTAATATTCATGGTAACCACTAAGATAGTAACTAAAACGTAGGTACAAAAAGAATAAAAGTGATTCAAAATGGCTCACTAGAGAAACAAAACAAACAAACAACAAACCACAAAAGCTGGCAGTACAATGCTAAGACAAAAAGTGTTGTTACAAAATCATAAAAGCAAACAAACAAAATATCAGGATATTAAACAAAAATATCTGGATGTAAAGCTCTTGTATCTCAACTTATCTTCCATCTAGGTCTATACCCTTCTGAAGTTGGAGTTTTCATTTCTCTAACTCTTCCCTAAAAAATTCTGTGGTCTTCATGTCAAAATGGCAGTTTTGGCATCCTCCAGAGACTCAAAAAATGTTCCCTTTAAATGTTCTCTGAGGTTGGGGGTGCAAAAAGTCTGAAGGGTCAGGATCAGGGGTATAGTGTGAAATGGGTTAAGGTTTTCCAATGAAATTCTCAATGAAATTCCCTTGTTACCTTTGTTATGATGGGGGAAAAAATTGTCTGCGACTTCCCTTGCCTTTTTACCACTAGTGCAGTTTTCAGTTTTCTTAAAACTTCTTCACAATAAGTCCTTGTAATCATCCTGTGTCCTTTGAGAAAATAACTGTCTCTGCACTGAATTTAATTGGCCCAGCAAATCCCCTCAGAAGCCACAATTTTGATGAGACTTTTTTTTTTTTTTTTTAAGGCTTATACTAAGAGAAATGTATCACTGAGACAACTTGTCTGCAGGCATCCACTGATAGCAAACATATTTAAACATGTTTTATTTGGAATAAGCCCGAGCATGTATGAACTGGAACTTTTTTACTTACCCTTTATTCATTTGCTCAGTGAACTCTTCTATTTTAGCAAAGATTGTATGCCTGCCATTCTGGACATATGTGGACACTGTGGATTCTGTTCCCTAGCTAGCTTGTGTCCAACTAATATTTTGAAATATATTTCCTTGTTCTCTAATAAAAAAGAAAATAAAACAGATCACAAAACAAAGCAACAACAATAAATAAACGAAAGTATCTCTCCTAACTTTGGTCTGTTAAGGGATATCTGCCCTAGGTGAAAGTATAGGATGCTGTTAAGTATTTGGTGCACATTCATTTTTCCTTGCACATGTACCAAAGTTGGGGCTTCAAAAAATTCTTGTAAAACTTAAAATATCATTTTTCCATGAATTTTTGAAATCTCCTCATATATTAATTTCTTAGTTCCTCATACACATGGTGTATTTGAAAAGTGCTAAATTATTTTTAGGTTTTTGTAAGTCTATGTATGCTTCAAACACACTAGTTAGTCTCAAGTGATTAATGGTAGCCACAATCTGCAAGCTTTGTTTGCTACCCTAAGGGAATTTGTTGTTGTTGTTGTTAAAGTGCCTTTAAGTCTGTGCTGACTCATAGTAACCCTGTATAGGGATTCCAAGGAGTGGCTGGTGGGTTTGAACCACTGACCTCTCAGTTAGAACCCCAGTGCTTATCCTACAGCACCACATTGAGGCTCACCCTCTTCCATTCTTCAGGGTTTCCCCAGACAAATCATATCATAAATACACTGTGTTTTGTGTGGTCTGACAGCAAAAGTGAAGTCTATTTTGCCCATTTTAGAGGCAAGGAATGGACCCTTTACTTGTGAACTTATGGTTCATTTTCTACAGTTATTGCCACAGTGGCTACCATCATAGCTGCCACTACTGACAGTATAATTAGCATTTTTCTAGCATTTAAAAGCTGCCTTTTTTTTTTATTATTATTATGCATTTGTCTACCTTCTATAGCTTTCTGATTACTGTTTAGCGATCTTACAGAGTTATTTCAATGGATGTTTTCATTGTTTTAGTTGGTAATAGAAATGCTCATGCCACCATCTTCGAGGATGTCTCTGCCTTTCTATTTTGAAATTAAGTTGTTTGTCTTGTTAATTAAATTAAAGATTTATATTTATATATTTCTTGAAAGTCTTCTGTTAGATATATGTTTTTTCAAATATTTTTATCTACCTGGGGGCTTCAAAACACTTATGGAAAATGGAACAAAAAGATGCTGCGATTTTCCCCAAAATTTTTGAAGTCCTCTTGCATATTACTTGTCTATTTAATAATTTTTAAATCATAGTTTTTTAAGTGTGTAATAAATCCATTTTGAAATTTCTTGTCTATTAGTTTTTACTGCCTATTGTTGTGACACTATAGGATAAGCACTGAACTGCAAGCTACAAGGTGAGCATTTCAAATCTACTAGTCACTCTTGGAAACCCTATATAGGGTCTCTATGAGTAAGAACCAAATGGCACGGCACTTAACAACAACGACATGTTTCTCTGGAGCCCCTGGGTAGTGAAAACAATTAATGCACTTTGTTGTTAACAAAAATTTAGAAAGTTTGAGTCACCTTGAAAGAACACTTTTGTGATCTACTTCCAAAAAATCAGCCATTGAAAGCCTATGGAGCACAGTCTACTGTGCTCCACAACAACTGGTTAGTTTGTTGATTTGTTTATCTAAGTTTTGTTCATATCTCATATTTCTATGCATCACGTTATTTTTGTGTGTGTGTGCTTTGATGAGTGTATAAGGAAAATTGCAGATTAAAAAAAAAAACTTTACTTGGAAATCGTTTCAAACTTAGAGAAAAGTTGAAAAATAAGAAAAGCGCAAAGAATATTCATATATCTTTCACTAAGATTCATCTCTTGTTAACATTTCACTCATTTTGTTTTATCATTTGAGTATGCTCACCCTCTTTTTCCTCTCTCCTTCTTTCCCTCTCTTTTTCTCTTTATGTTTACAAACACACATATGTTTTTTCCTCTGTCATTTTTATGTGTCATGCATAAATTCAAGGTTTGATTTCCAAAGGAGATAATGTGAGGCTGTGGATGATGTGATTCTTTCAAACAGATATTTTTTATATTTTGTATTTACCTTTTGACTTACAGCTTGTCTGGCTATATTCAGTATTGTTGTTGCTAAGTGCTGTCAAGTTGTTTCTAACTCATAGCAAACCTGCATAGGGATTCCAAGAAGTGGCTGGTAGGTTTGAACTGCCAACCTTGTGGTTAAGAACCCACTGCTTATCCTACAATGCCACACTAGCATCTGGTAGGATTTATCTACTATAAGTTAGTCTGCCATTGCCAGAAGTAGAATATCTGTGCTGTTTCTTTTTATGATTTAGTATCAAAATCTATCATAGTGTGATTTACTATCATTAGGATTAATGTCCCCTCATTACTCTTCTTTAATTAGAATTTTTTTCTACATGAAATTAATATGTAGGTAAATTAACATATAGGTAATGTGTTGATTCTGTAGTATTAAGTACTGGACTGTGAACCATGAGGCTTTCTGCTCCTGCAAAGATTTACAGCCCTGGAAACCCACTTGATACAGGGTCACTATGATTAAGAACTGACAAGATAGCACTTAAACAACAACATGTAAATGATTGAAATCATTATTATTTTGATATTCTTATAAAAGGAGTCCAGGTGAGGTTCTGTAGGATAAGCACTGGACTGTTAACCACAAGGTCAGCAATTCAAATCCACCAGTCACTCCTTGGAAACCCTATACAGGGTCACTATGATGTGAACTGACCCACTGACTGGCACTTAAAAACAGCAACATATAGGAACGGGATCTGGTTTTCCATTTTCCCACAATTTTTTGGGGGGCCCTCAGTATTCTTTCATTTTCTTCCCCTTTTTCCTCTGCCCACAGCAAGATGGATTCTGGATATACTCTGAATACTGTAATAACCACCTAGATGCATGCATGGAGCTCTCCAAGCTGATGAAGGACAGCCGATATCAGCATTTCTTTGAGGCCTGTCGCCTCTTACAGCAGATGATCGACATTGCTATTGATGGCTTCCTATTGACTCCAGTGCAGAAGATCTGCAAGTATCCCTTACAGCTAGCTGAACTTCTCAAGTACACTGCCCAGGACCACAGGTAAGGTATTGAAGGAGGAAGAAGGGAGAAGGATGAAGTGAACATCTTCCACATGTTGGTCCTTGTTGATAATATATGTCTGTTGCTTTTCTGAGCTTCTTGACTTGGATCAAGCACCCTTTAGTCCTCAAAGTGCATCTTTGCTCTTTAACAGCAGATTTTGCTCAGTGCAATAATGCTTCATTGGATTTCTTGACTGCTAGTTCAATGAGCATTGATTGTGGATCCAAGTAAAATAAAATCCTTCACAATTTCAATATTTTCTTCATTTATCATGTTCATTATATTTAATTTATTATACCCTCAAAAATTCCTACTGTCATTTTCCCCATTTTAAAGATACGAAAACTGAATTTCTAAGAGATTAAGTGATACTTATCAAAGATCTCACTCCTAGTCAGTGGCAAAACTGTGGTTTGATCCCAGGGAGCTTAGTTCCAGATTTTGTGTTCTTAATCACTATGTTACATCAATGTTATATCATATTTGCTTTAGCCAGCTCCATAGGAATAGACAGTAGATGAGAAGGTTAAACTGTTGGATGAGAAGGTTAAACTCAGGGGTCTTTGACTTATTAGATGAGATGTTGTTGTTTGATGCCATTGAGTTGGTTGTCACTCATAGTGCCCCTTTCCCAACAGGACAAAACCTGCCTAATCCTACATCATCCTCACAAATGTTATGATTGAGCCCATTATTGCTGCCACTGTGTCAACGAATTTCATTGGTGTCTTCCTCTTTTTGCTGAATTTCCACTATTCCAAAAATGATGTCTTTCTCCAGGGACTGACTGGTCCCCACTAATAGTATGCCAAAATTATGAGAGATGAAGTCTTACCACCCTCACTTAAAAACTTGTATTTAGAAATTCTTGTTGTATTTCTTCCAAAACAAATTTGTTTGTTCTTCTGGAAGTGTCCATGGCACTTTTGATATTCTTTTCTAACACCATATTCAAATGCACTGATTTTGCTAAGGTCTTCCTTGTTCATTGCCCAACTTTCACATGTATATGAGGCAATTGAAAATATAATGATTTAGGTCAGGTGCACCTTAGTCCTTAAAGTGACCTCTTCAATCTTTAATACTTAAAAGAGGTATTTTGCGCCAGATTTTCAAGATGCAATAAGTTGTTTGATTTCTCGACTGCTTCTTCCATGAGTGTTGACTGTGAATACAAGCAAAATGAAATCTTTTCTCCATTTTTCATGATGTTATTTGTTGTTCCAGTTGTGAGGATTTTTGTTTTCTTTATATTAAGGTACAATCTATACTATACTATAGATTAGTCTTTGATTTATACTTTAGTATACTTTAGTCTTTGATCTTCATCAGTTAAGTATTCAAAGTCCTCTTTGTTCCCAGCAAGAAATGCTGCATCATCTGCATTTTTTTCATCATCTGCATTTTTCAGATTATTAATGAGTCTTCCTCCAATCCTGATGCCACATTCCTCTGCATGTAATCCAGCGTCTCAGATTATATGCTCAGTATACAGATTGAATAAGTAAGGTGAAAGGATGCAACCCTTGTGCACACCATTCATGATTTTAAACCATTCAGTATCCCCTGGTTCTGTTTGAATGCTTTCCTTGTGATCTATATATTGGTTCCTCATTAACACAATTACGTGTTATGTAATACCCATGGTTTGTTTTGATCCACACAGTCAAATGTCTTTGCATAGTCAATAAAGCATAATTGTGCATCAGTTGTTTCAGATTGATGATTTAAATAAGATAGGAGTCTGTTTTTCTCTCATACGAAAGAAGTCTGTAGATGGAAAGCCTGTGTCTGGTCTGGTTATCAGGAATTTAGGCTCCTCTCTGTTTACTGGTGTCCTATCTCTAGAATATGGGCCTTGTCCTTATGATCTGAGATGGTTGCTAGAACTTCAGCCATCACACTTACATTTTTAAAATCAGGATTAAGGGTCAAAGAAGGACATAAGCTCTTCCCTAGAGATTTCTCAGAAGTTGCAACCAACAATTCTTTCCATTAGTCTTTGGACAAAATTTATTCACATTTATTGTAAGGAAGTTTTCTTCTGAAAATAGGACTCTGTTACTAAGGAGAAAGAGGATGTTAGGATTGACACCTGACAGTCTCTGACATGGGTTTATACAGCTTGCACTCTTGTGTCTTCACAGTGACTACAGATATGTGGCAGCTGCTCTTGCTGTCATGAGAAATGTGACTCAGCAGATCAACGAGCGCAAGCGGCGTTTGGAGAATATTGACAAGATTGCCCAGTGGCAAGCTTCTGTCCTTGACTGGGAGGTAGGATCCACACCAACAGGGGCAGTAGGAAGTCTAAATAACTTGTGCAGGACTTTCTTATCTTAGTCAAGGATGGGCAAAGATGAATTAGGGCAGAAGGAAGGATTTAGATTAGAGCTAAGGTAAAACTTCCTGCCAGTAATTGCATTTGTTGCTTGAATGGCTTTCTAAGAAGATTAGAGAAATATTTGTGTCAATACTTGAAAAGAAAAAAAAATTATTCTCTGGGTGTTTCTAGGAATCAATTGTGTTGACTCAGTAGCTTTTCACAACTCCCTCAAATCCTAGTATTTTTTTGACAACCAGATACACACTTGAATGCCAATTCATGCCCAGACACAAGATATGAGGTTAGTTCTCGGGTCTCCACAATAATTTTGACTAGCCCACATGCTTCTTTTCCTTTTGGTGGTGTCATCTTATTCTGACACATCTCCTAACTCTACCCAATTCTGCACATTCAAAGCCACGCTCATCAGGCCTGCCAAAGCCATAAAACAAAATCTCATTTCTATCATATGTTTTTAATTATAATCCATGAAAGCTTTCCTTCAGTTACATGGAAAACCATGACTCCTCTGAATTCAGAAAGCCTTCAGTGGTTAAAATCACTAAAGCCTTCTTTTACCAAAATCTCACCTGCAGAAGATATAACTCTATTCTTCCTAATGTAGATGGCTCAAAAGGATCACAATTCTTATAGCTAGCATATTTTTGGAGTCCTGATGTGGTGCTACAGATTAATGTACTGGACTTCAAAGTCAGCTTGAACCACAAGGTTGGTAGTTCAAGCTCATCAGCCACTCCTTAGAAATCCTACACAGGGTCACTATGATTGGAACTTAACAATAACAACAAAAAGCATATTTTTTTTAGTTTTATTTGCAGGATAAGGTCCCCATTTAAAGAAGAACAATAAAGATTTTCCTGCATCTTTGAGATGCAGGAAATGGATATATAAAGAGACCTTCTTGCTCATAAGAACACTGACCCAGACTTATTTGTAAATCATGGACTATCCTTCACTTTTGTCTTCTTTGCTTTGGCTAGTTGCCTGATAGAGGTAGCGGGCTGGACCTAATGACCTACAGTCATCAACTTTAAAGCATGAAGATGTGACTGGCTAGCAGATTTTTCTTCCCCCAGAAGAATTCTTTGTAAGAGGATGTTCACAGAAATAGCTATTTTCCTATTCCCTATAATACCACTCCCGTTCCCAATGCCTAGAAAACCTTTAGATTCATCCTTGTGCTCTAGGGCTCCAGTCCTAGGGAACCAAAATCAAATTAAGATTTTCTGGCCCAGGGGACTTCATTAACACCCTCCCTACTCCATGCCAGCCTACGGAAAGCTACAATGCACTTGACAGTGATTGAAAGACTCAGAATCTTTTTACTAGGGTGAGGGTGTGGGGAGGTAAAAAAGGCAATTCCAAGCCAGGATTGGTAAGATATTAGTTACTCTTTGCCTTCTAGCCTCATCCAAGCCCAAACACCCCTGCCATTCTCTTACTTGGTAAAGCTCTCTTCCACTAAATTGATAAGGAGAAAATTTTCTTGTGGTTCCCTTCAGGTTATGGGATCACTGTGGAAATCGCCAGCTCCAAAGGGTTTGCCTCTAGGAGGACTTTTCTCCAGCAAAGCCTAATGTATTCATTTCCAATATCAAGCCCAAAATGTCTGTTATTTTTTTTACCATATACTGTCTTAAAGACTTCTGAAATGTTAATTACCATATCATATAGTGTACTGCCCTCACAAACCTGGCCATGTTCATGCACACATGCACACACATACACACATCATACTGATAGCAAAAGAAAGAAACAGAGAATGGTGTGTTCCTGAACAAGGCCACACAGCAAATCAGTGACAAACCTGGTACTTGAATGTAGTCTCCTGATCCCTTACGTGATGTTCTTTTCAGTATTGCACCGCATGCTCCTCAAGCCTCCTGCCTCCCCTATACAATACTGAAGTTAAAAGTCTATATCTGAGTAAGACAGTGAGACTGCCTTTGAGGGAAAATACAAATACAAATCAGACAAGGTAGGACATGAGATATGAGGTGAGTTCTACCTGCCCTAGCAATTGAACTGTCAAAAGTTGTCCTGTCAGTTTGTTTAGGACAGCTGTAAGCAGCAGCATCTACAAATCAAGAAAAGAAAGCAGGGTTTTGATTTCTATGCCACTCCCTTGCCTCCCAGATATTTGAACAAACAGGATGACTGTGAAAACATCTCCATAATGATTCCACCTTCATTTTTCAAGTAAAAATAGGAGTGATAGAGAAATCTTCAGAGCTTAATGACCCTTACAGAGGAACTGGAAAGGTGGTAGAAAGCTGGTAGCATGAAGGCAATTGGTACCTGCTCAGTATATCAGTGTCTACTTAGAAAGTAGGAGACCTTGCCATCTGTTCAGTCCAGGCCCTTCCTTCAACTTACTCCATGAATATTCTGATTTTTTTTTTCCTTAATCTAACTCTAGTTTCCTTCCTTGCTACATGTCAGCCTATGGGGAGCTAGAGTTTCTGAAGCACCTCCTCTTTTCCCCACCCTCCAATAATAAACAGATATGTAAAAATAAGCCCAAAATAAACAGATATGTAAAAATTATCAAAATTTCCTCTAAGTGATTAGCAATACCTTAGAGTATGTTTGTGTAGGAGCAAGGAGAAGAGCTTCTTCCCAGGGACTATAGTTTCTAGAATTTTTAAATTTCTTTACCACTTTTCACTTTATCACATTTCACACTTGTTGAATCCACTTGAAAGAGAGGAAACATATCCCAGAAAGCTTTTTTAAAACTTTTTCCCCCACAGAGATTTTTAGCAAGAACCCAAATTTGTAGTTCATGTTTGAGGGGGATTTGCTAAATGTGCTTGTGATGTCTTTCTTTTGGTAACCTTCCTCTCCAGGTCTGGTTGTGTAATACCCAAGAGCCTGATTCAGTTTGCCACTGGATAGATGATCGATTCCAAAGAGATATAGAAAAAGAAATATATATTCCTAGTGTCCTGCATTAAACCAGGAAAAATAATGTAATTGAGGCAGCAAAAACATCTATTTAAAATATATGCTAACAAAATAACTTGAGGGAATGAGTTGCTTGGCCTGGGACCTCAGCACCATAGTCTCAGGGGACACCATGGTCAATTAGTATAACATATTCCACAAAGACAATGTTCTACTTCTAACTTTGATGAGTAGTAACTGGGATCGGAAAAGCTCATGAGGGGCCATCTAAGGTCTCTCACAGTCTAGAGGAAAGAAGAGTGATAAAAATTGAAAATGCTTGGAAAATGGACTGTTGGATCATGAGAACATCAGTCTCCACAACTCTGAGACCAGAAGAACTAGATACTATTCTGAAAGGAATATTATTAAGTAATCATAGACCGAAAGGGATGCTATATGGAATAGGACTCAATATCCTAAAAAATAGACCAGGTTTATCACAAGTAGATTATGAACTTTGGTAGTTTAACCTTCAGGCCTAGAACTGAACTCACCCCCATGGCTCAATTTTCAGACAAGATAGAGATAGGTATATAAGGAAATAATGCTAGTAAAGTATGCATACCATAGAACACTCAGTTATTCTAGATCAAAAGGAGACAGAATTAAACAGGTTTGGAAAGAAGGCAGAATGGAAGCATGGAACACAAGGAGGAAGGAAGATAAATGAGGTTGCATTGAAGATTGTAATGACTGAAATGAAAAGAAGTGTATGATTTAATGAATATAAAACTGATGATCTGTTCTGTAGCCACTCAATTCACAATATAAGGTTTAAAAAAAAAAACAAAAAACACATACGGTGGCTTAATGAGGCATGGTCCTGAGACAGTGGTCAAATGTGGGCCTCTTTCATGTATAATTTCTCTGTTCTTCTAGAAGCTGGCAGCATGGAAAATATACTGGATGAAAAAGATGACATTTCGCCAGTCCTTCTTTCCATGAATCTACTCCAGCCACAGCCCCACATCAGTCAATTAGTATTTAATTAGAGTGTAGGGTAAAGTCATACAGGGTAGTGTCCTTCACTTCTCTGATGATTTGACCATGGGCGGGGGGGGGGGGGGAAGGAGATGTATTAACTTTAAAGACAGCTTTGGGTAGTTTTGTTGTAGTTAAGTGCCTTCGAGTCAATTCTGACTCACATAGACCCTGCATAGAGTTTCTTTGGAGTGGCTGGTGAATTTTTAGATGGTCACAATTCATTCACCACTATTGACTCATTTGTTAAAACAGATATTTAGTGGGTACCTTCTGAGAATCAGGTCTCATTCTAAACTCTGTAGATAAATCAGTGAACAGGACAAATTCCTACCCTCATCAAATTTATAATCCAGTAGAGAAGAGAGGCAACTGAAACATAATTTAATTTCATGTAGTTAAGGAGCTCTGGTAATGTAGTGGTTACAAATCGGGCTGTGAACTGCAAAGTCAGCAGTTCGAAACTACCAGCTGCTCCGTGGGAGAAAGATGAGGCTTTCTGCTCCCATAAAGATTTACAGCCTTGGAAACCCTGTTCAGGGTTGCTATGGATTGGAACCAACTTGACAGCACTTAACAACAACATAGGGGCTATAAAGAAAATTAAAGTAGGGTAACAGATTGAGGAGTAGCAGGGATACTGTTTTTAATAAGGTATGGTGTTCCTGAAGTGGTTACATTTATTCATATGCCCAAAAGACCAAACCAGGAGAGAACATTCTAAGCCATGGGAAGAACAAATGCAAAGTCCCTGAGAGATGTACATGTGTGCTGAAGGAACAGCAAGGTGACCAGCTTACAGTGAGCAAGGAGAAGAGTGGGAGCAGATCAAGTCAGGGAGATAATGGGAGGTTATATCACATAGGGCTTTGTATACGTGTACACTGGAGCAGACATGATACTACATTACTTGTTTTGATCATCTTCTTTATGCCAAGCCCTGTGCTTGACATTGAGAATGTTGACATGAATGGTGTATAGCCTTGACTATCCTGTAGGA